TTTGGTTCGATCAGTGGAGAAAGATCCGAGAAAAACGTCAAGCGATCTTCGTCGAGAGGCTCACCAATACCATGGGCTCACCATCTCTAAGAGTACAGCTCAACGAATTCTGAGGTTTATTTTGATGTAATGATGCATTTATATCAGAATTTTAGATCTAAGGGACTTAAAGGAGCACGCCCTTCACGAAAACCGCTGATTTCAAAGAAGAATCTTAAAGCTCGCCTCGAATTTGCGAGGAAACATCAGAACTGGTCAGTGGCGGATTGGAGTCGCGTTTTATGGAGTGATGAATCCAAGTTTAACTTGTTTTCAAGCAATGGAATTCGTTATATCCGACGTCCAGCAAATAAGAGAAACGATTCAAAGTATCAAGTGCCCACGATTAAGCACGGTGGCGGTTCGGTCATGACATGGGGTATAAGCTTCACTTAACTTAAAAAAATGAATAAGTTTAGGTTGCTTTTCGCTTAGCGGTGTTGGTTCACTTGTCGAAATCAACGGAATAATGAATGCTGTAAGCTATCGAGACATTTTAGATCAATAAATGCTTCCGTTTGCTCAACAAAATTTGGACCCCGATTGGTTGTTCATGCAAGACAATGATCCGAAGCATAAGGCTCGACTTGTTTCTCAATGGTTTCAACAATCAAACGTCGAAGTCTTGGAATGGCCGGCCCAAAGTCCGGATCTCAACCCTATTGAGCATCTTTGGGCGGAATTGGATCGACAAATTCGGACACGAACATTCACAAAAACCACCGAACTCTTCGCCGCGCTTAAAGATGAATGGGCCAAAATTCCTCAGGCCACTATCGACAAATTGATCAATTCGATGCCACAGCGTTGTGCAGCAGTCATTACCGCTAAAGGTTTTGCAACGAAATATTAGTTATTCTTTGTTAATTTGAAATAAATTGTCCGTTTTCTAAAGCGTGTCCAAAGTTATAACCCCCTAGAAAGTGGGGTCTCCAGGTAAAGTAGCTCAAAAATGGATGAGAATAAAAGTAAAAGCCAAATTCATGCAGAAATAATGAAAAGGGATAAAAACTGTATAAAATAGTCGATTTCGGTAGAAAAAGCTCTTATTAGCAAAAGAACGAACAAATTATAGTTTAACGCGCGAGGTGTGTCCAAAGTTATGAACCCTACTGTATCTCAAATAAGATCAAGATGTAAATATACCTTCTTTCGATAATTTCCCACATAACAAGTCCCAGACTGTAGACATCATTTCGATGGGAATCCTGGAATGAATATTTCTGATCATTGGATAGAAAAGAATGTCAAATTAACCGATGGATCAGCTTTCATTTGTTCATAAACATCCCGTCGTTCCTCATCCTTCTGCATATTGGGTGGACTTATATATCGTGGTGTTCCAACAAACGTCCCCGTAACAGTTCCATTTTCCAATACTTTTACCAATCCGAAATCTCCAATTTTCAGTTGGTATTCATTGGTCACAAATATACTATAAATGTATTGAACTTCGACATTTATATCACTGAATATTACTTTTCTGGTTTGATATCTCGATGTACCATTTTGTGTTCCTGATACATGTGGTCAATGGCATCAAATAATTGGATTCCCCATGTGAGAACAGTGTTCATTGAATATTGAATTTTTGGGTCAAGGATGACTAAACTATAAAATGTAACAATTCCTGTCCAATCCCAACCTTCTTTGAGTGGTCCCTTCTGACAATATTCCATTACAATCCCCACTCTTCTTCCTTCTTCTCTATATCGATACAATCGGACAACATTTACATGATGGATCTTCGTCAAAGCTTCACGTTCATTTTTGAAGATCTTCAATTGTTCATCATTTCCACAAAACATATATTTGATTGCAGCTGGGCTAAAAGAAAGAAGTTATGCAAAAAGACTAAAGATCGAGCATGACAATGAATAGATCCAAATAACCAACGGCTTATGTCCAATCAATTCAAGCATCACCATATGCTCCTTTTCCAATAGGTCGTCCTTTGGGTTCCTGGTTTGTTGCCATAATTCATGAAAAAGTTTAGCGTCGGCTGCTAAAACTCCAAATATCTCTGGCAATGATTTCAGATTGAATTAAAGTTAAAATGAATACAATTGCTTTTAAATAATCAGCGTTAGATTTCTTCTAAAAAATCAGTTAAAGAACTTGATCTGCTTTAAATTTTGACCCTCTCAGAGGTTGGATGACCTAAAAAATTTTTGGATAAGAATCATGATTTCGAAAAAAATATAAAAATCGCTTTAAACGCCAGAACTACTTCTAAAAAAATTAAGTCAAAGTTTCTCTTGTTAGACAGTCTGTAACTCTTCTGTGTTACTGCTCTTTTACTGAATTCTTTGTCTAAAATTATCGAAAGCTTTTAACCGAAAATGACTCAACTGTGACACTGATTCATTTGATCGTAATTTTGAAACAAAGCCGCTTCCGGTAGACCCCAGTAATACTAATATGTGGCCCCTAAATGATAATTCATCAAACAAAGCTTACTGTTGCACAATTTTTTTCGGCTAGAAGGTCGGGCCAATTGTGATAAGAGACTGTCTCGGCCTTTGGTTGCATCTGTACGAGTTGTTTTTTCCTTTTTTTGTTGCAGCAACAATATTTGGTTCAATAAAGTTTTCGGAAACTATTTTTACTTTACAAAGGTTGTGCTTCATTAGTTATAATTAAAATCTGTTCCTTTTAAATAAAAAAGAAAAACAGAAAACTGATTACGGTCGAAAGTGACTGAGCATCTTGAAAATCACTATCACTTTCTGAATATTCAGTCGATTTCTATCGTAAGCATTTTCTCTATTCCACGGAGCCACCTGACGCCTAATTATTGTTCTTTTTGCCTTGTCTCTCTCTTTTTTTTATTTTTTGTTTTCGTAACCTTCTTTTTTTTTACGACGAACTGGTGAAACCTAGGAATTTCATAGGTTGTCGACTTTCATTGCTTGATTAAAACGGTGTCCTTCCAAATTCTGCTAACAATTTTCTCCTTCAAATCACAGTAAAACAGAACAGCCTTGAAAATGAGTATTCATTTGTCTTTGTGTGATCAAGTTGAGAAAAATAATTTTTTCATAAATGAAGTATTACATAGTCGAAAACTTGACAATTTTTGAGTGCGTCATCTTCGAATTACTCTAAAACGAGTTAGGATCATGAAAATTTCACGAAAACTTGCCAAAATTATCTAGAAAGTCTGGAGATTTGAAATCTTATATGTATTTCACGACTTAAGAAGTCATTTAGCTCTGGGCTAACCACCAAATCTGTTAGGCGTTTCTCGGACTGTATTTTTGTGTTGATTAGCCTTTTTAAGTGTTTAACTGAATGTTTCTATTTTAAAAAAACTCGTTAACTTTGCTTTTGTATGTGAAATTGATTCAGATCACAATACCCTATAAGTTGATGCGGGTCAACTCTTTGTTTCTAACCTCATTTTTTCTTTGTATTCAAATAGAAGCCAACAAAGAGAATGCAATAAAAAGTCAAGCGGTGATCAAAGAACAAGCAAAGTTGAGCCTGTTATGCTTTGCCGTAATGATTACCCATTTCAGCTTCATTGAACTGGAAGCCGGACAAAACGTGACACTTATAAGCCCGAAAAACAAAAACTTCAAGTCAGAGTGCGTTTGTTTGTTTCACCCTCAGCATTTAGGTGGTCTTTTCAAGGGAGGTCACATCGAGAATTAAGCGGTTTCTACAAAACTAGCTGGCTCAGTAGAATTAATGTCACGGAAAATGCACAGGTAAAGGATCATCTATGTTTTTTTTCATCTGCAAATCTATTACCAGAACTCAACTTTTCATGTTCGAGATTTAAAAGCCACAGATACTGGCTTATACTTGTATGGCGATGAAAACAAAAACGAGTTCTTGACTGCCGTTTATCTTTTTGTTAGAGGTGAGAATGTGCATTACAGGTGAAAACACCTAATCCGTTTTTGTTTGTAAGAATCCGATTTGACCAATTTATCACCAGAAATTAAACTGAAAAGTTGCAGATTTTCGGTAGTTTTCGAAAGTTATTTTCATTTTTGGGTAGAAGCCTCAGTTTCGAAGTTATAAGTTTTTTTCGACAAGCGTCTCCCGACAGTTATTTATTTCTCGAACATCAACATCCAAAAAAACGTTTTATGAAAGCTTGACAACCTAGAAGATTAAGATTCAGGATATTAGATTGGCAACTTGAAAGTTGGTACACTTATTCCGTTTACTTTTCAAAAATAACTAGTACACCAATTAATTTTCAATTTTTACCAATAAAAAAGTCTATTTATTCTCTAAAACAGGCTTTTGAAAGCTTCGGTTTTTTAGGTTTCTCGGGGCAACAAGTTGAGGAAACAAAAAATGATGAACGCTCAATGAAGCGATTTAAGTACTTTTTTTTCTAATGAAACCCATTTTGTGTCAATATCAAAAAAGATAGCGCATTAAAAGTTAGACATGAACCAAATTCGCAGCTCGAGACAATCAATTGTTTTTGCTACAGTTCCATTTAAAGAATTTGTAGAAAAACTTGAGTTTCTGCCCAAATTCGCTTCAAAAGTTACCCAAATTTGCTTAAACATGTCTTAAATTAGATAATATATAAATAATATTTAGTGAAGTCTAATTCAATTCGCGTATTAAGTATGTTTTATGAAAAATAGGAAAAAGTGTACCCACTTTTAAGTTGCTAATCTAATATTTGAATGTTTTATCCATGCCATTAATTGAAGGACGTACTAGATGTTGACAAATCGGCTCATCTGTGCTCTTACAAACAAAACAGATTATTTCAGTCTGTATTGATTTAGAAGATCCGGTGATAAACTCTAATTTTGATACATTGATTTTGGTACATTTAGATCACAATACTTTTCTGAAAACCGAGATATATATAATTTCCCTCCATGCTGCGTCAAATTTGGTCATTCCGTGTGAAACGACGTGGAATGTGACAAGTAGGTTCTGAAAAGCGATCCTTTCGATGAAAACTTATTGAAGAAAGTCGAATGCAGCTATTTTTGAATGGCGTGGAGTGGAAAATCAACGAGCATTTCAACCCAAGGTTTCTTTATTTTATAGTACTTATGAAAAAGGATTCCATTTAGACAGGGTTATATAATCCCAAACGAGTCCTTGAGAGAGCACTTGGTTGCGAACAAGATGTTGCTACGGTGTCAATACGAGGAAGAAAAAGTCGAGTTTTTGGTGAACATTCTCCAGGTTGGATATGCAGCTTACAGAAGTCATAAATATACTTACACTTCAGCAGCTTCCACGTTCTCGTGAACTCATGCCGTTACTACGCAAAGAACTGGGTAAGCATCAAAGAAGTGCAGATGCAGATGTTTTTTTCCGGACTCAGTTCTCGAAAATCAGACTTTTGAATTTCACTTAGAAAAAAAAAATTTGCTTTTAGAAAACGGTACAAGCTCTTACTCGAACGGAACAACTGATTACATTCACGTACGTTTGGATTTCACGGCAAGGCTGTTCCACAAGTCTAATTTTTGAGTATGACCGGTTATATGGCCTGGCCAGCTATGGCTTATGGCCTCGAAAAACAGCCCTGTTTAGCAGCTTGGATGTTTTTGGTTTTTTTTTAAGATAATCTGTTTATAAACTCAAGGGATGATTTTTAAAATTCCATACAAATCTTTGCATGCTTAGAACTTTTGACAGAGTGCTTTATAGCAGAAACTAAAACCATATTCGGAATCAGCGTGAAATTCTGCATCGAATGGTATATATCGCATGTGATTTGGTCACCTTGCTCACTTGACCTTCTCTTCTCAGTACTCGAAGATGCATTAGAAAAAATATCACTTTGCAACTGTAGATTTGCAAAGCTTGCGCATGATCGTTTAACTAGGAACATTTGCAAAATGAGCCTTTGTCAGTAAATGAAAATAATGATGTTCTTGTTTAGATTGCGGCACATGCTCGCGAAATACATGTGAAAGAAGGAAACCCCATTGAATTGAATTATGGTTTGTTCTTTGACGTGATAAAACAATCGGCTTTTCAGCAGTGATCCACCACAATAGAGCTTTGTTCGACTGCAGCTCGACATGGGTTAGTGTGCACTTAAAAATTGAAATTTGTTTCTCGCACATCTTCACGCATTTTCTAAAAAGCACTTAATTGAGAAAACTACCGTAATAAAAAGTGCGTTTTGCGTAAATGAAACGTAATAAATACTAATACTGAGTGAATTTGTCTAATTTTGATAGTATCATTTTTCCTTGTCGAAATGCTTCAAAATTAGGGTGGTTTTATTACGTTTTATTTTTGCAAAACTGGCTATTTGATTACGATCGTCTTCTCAAATACTTTATTTCCTCTATTAGTATTGCGCCTTCTAATAGTATTGCACCAATAGTATTGCGCAATACTAATAGAGGAAATAGAAAGTGTTAGAAAACCCGTAAATTTTGAGGAACACACTCTACTGATTCTAAAAACTCTATGCAACATTTTAGCGTTTGAAACTTGAAGGCGACAATTCTAATTTCGTCGCTCCCATCGAAAACGCTAAATCTATTTGTTTTATGGATTCGAGCATAGGGATGGAACGGATGCTAAGAGAAATCCAGATTCCAAACGCCCAGTTGAACAACTCTGGAACGTGGGGAAGGGAATATTTTTTTTTAATTCAGTGTGTGTTTCAGCTATACACTAACGATGGACAATGGGGCATTTCAAGCATCAACTAGCTGGCATGTTTTGGTGGATGAACCGAAGAAACGGGTCAACTTGACGGTCCTTACTCCACACAATTTCGTCTTCGACGATCAGAAACACTATAAAGTAGGATTTACAGTGAAAATCACAAAAAAACACCATTAGTCGTAAATAAAAACAATACGTTTTCTTCCCCTTGAAATAAATTTGCAAGAATTTTTTTAATTGAAGTGACTGCATCATGCATTCTTGAACCATGAATTATGAAGAAAGATTCTAAAGACTTTCTGACCAGCCTAATACAGGGTGGGGCAAAATTACGGATACACCTTTTCAACAGATTGCCTAGCAAACGCCGCAAACATTTCAAAAACCTTGAGTGTTATATAGAAAATTGAAGCCTGCATTCTTGCCTACATTTCTGTACCAAAAAATTTTTGATGAGAGTTTTGCAACCCATTTTTCCGACCCCCAAATGAGTCCAATGCGATCAATCTCCCCGGCATGCTTCCATTTTTAGCTGTTTTCTAACTAGAAAACTTGTAGGTAGGTGGAATTTTTCTTTAGTAAAAGTACATTTTTATTCATTTAAAAATTATTTCTAACAAATTTACAGCTTTAGGACAGCACGTACGGGCATAAAAGCTAAGAATTGAACACCCCAAAAACCCAAATTTCGTCAAAATTGCCGAACATCCAAAGAGGGCTATCCTTAATTTAAGTTCTGGTTAGGTTAACATTGTCAAACCACTTTGGCGTTATCATCGTTTTTCATACCATTCAAAATGCTATCTTTTCATATACTAACCGCTGGGAAATTCTACTTAAAAGAATTTTATAGTTAGAAAACAGCTAAAAATGGAAGCATGCCGGGGAGACTAATCGCATTGGACTCATTTGGGAGTCTGAAAATGGGCTGCAAAACTCTAATGAAAAATTTTTTGGTACAAAAATGTAGGCTAGAATTCAGGCTTCAATTCTCTATATAACACTTAGAGTTTTTGCAAAGTTTGCGGCGTTTGCTAGGCAATCTGTTGAAAAGGTGTATCCGTAATTTTGCCCCAGCCTGTACAACTAATGGTGTTTTTCGTGTCTTTGACTATTGACTAATGTTTAATTCATGATGAAGGAAAAGAGAATTTAGAAAGGGTCAACTATTCAAATTTGCTGTCTTTCCAACGGATTTCCTCGTGAAAAATTACAGTTATCATATCAACAGTAAGAAAATATAAAAAGTTCGCAAAATGATAATTTGCAGAAACAATTTGCTGCACCGCGTCAATCAAACTGAAATTGAAATCCAGGGGCTTAATAAAGAGGTGAAAATGGTATGGAATGTCACTGTTGACAAAGATTTCCTCGTGATTTGTAAAGCCGATGATTTCCAGAACAACATACGGGTAAGGGCTATTTTTTCGAATATCTTTTTGAAGTTTGGATAAATTTTAGGTTGCAGAGAGCGATTCGTTGAAGATCATAGTAGCTGAACAAACAGTGTATTTAAAGACGGAAATCACCAAAAGTCCCAAGGCAACCAAAGAAGAAGCGGTTTGTGTCAAGAGTTAACAGGAAATCCCATTTATAGGGCACAATCTACCCTGGGGATCAGATAAAGCTTTTCTGCAGTGCTGCCAATGACGAACACGTGTGGGTGAACAAAAAACTTGAGAGCACTGAATAAGTCGAGATTTCTGAACACACCTAATTATAACTATTGCCTTCACTAAAGAAAGTCCAAGTTTTTCGTGAGCTTTAAGATTTAATAATAAAGTCAATAGGTAATCTCAAATAGAATGGGCTCCTGTCGATTAAACAAATTATAATTGGTTAAAAGTAGCATTTAAAAATTAACCAATTAACCAAGAATTAACCAGATAAAACGTTGGCCAAAGGGCCGATTAGTAGATTTGTAGGCCGATGACTGAATATCTTAAATTTTCGCTTGTAGGCTAGGAATTTACTATAAATACGTGCGCAAATATTATATTTTCATAAGTTCATTTTTATTCATGCTTTTGTATTTGATTCAGCTGTCAAAAGCGTATCATTTATTCTAGCATATTACTAGAGATGGAAGTTGTGGTTGAGGTGGAGAAGCAAATTTCTTGAAAGAACATTGGCTATCTGTAAAAGTCTACCTACATCTCCCAAACTACATTCTGCTTATTCGACATATTATCGAGTTCTTGAGTTTAAATCGTTTAATCTAAAAGAGAATGTTTTGAGTGAAAAACTAGAGGAAAAAAGGAAAAAGTAAGGGATAAATTGAAATTCCCAGTGATTAATCAGCCATTGTGCAATTAATTACTTTTTTAATCAAATTATATAAATTTGACCAAGAGGAGCCCACTCTAATCTCAGAAGAATGTTGATTAAGAACGTATTTGTAAAAGTAAAGCATTCCTTCGCAAGCTCAATGCGACAGCGCTTTTTGCTCGATAGAGTTTATCTTCTGAAAGTCCTAAGGTTTGTTCTTTTTTCACAATTAGCTAAATTGCTCTTGAATTGAAAAGTTTGTTCTTTGAACGAGAGTATTTATCTTTCGTGCGCAAAATGAGTCATTTTCCATGCGTTTAGTACGGAAATGCGATGGATTTATGGAAATAATACGCTTTTGACCCAAAGAAAACCGTCACCACCATTCACTTGGTCACAAGAGATCATGGTGAGGGTGAAAAAACTTTGACTTTTGACCTAGTGATGTTTTCAGAACATCACCGCTAATCAATCAGGCTTATACACATGCGAAGTGAGATTTCGAGCCTCTCAGGTGCTCAATGAATCAATTGAAATAAAGGTTTAGTTTTTTTTAATATTCTTTGTTTTACAAAAAGCTTCAAGGTTTCTGAAATGTCGGCTCCGGTGGTTCTAGATAGTAAAAATGCGAAGATTCAAGCTAAACTCGGGGATTCGAAAATTCTTGAATGCAAAATTGGAGGCGTTCCCAGGCCGACCATTTCATGGTTTTTAAGCTGGTTTTAGTAAAAAAAGAGGCGTTCAGGTGGAAAGACGACTCTTTGCTGACGGATAAGCTTCTCATGAATGGCTCCCTAATGATCGAGAAAATCACCAGGGTAGATAGTGGTGTCTACAAGTGTGCAGGAAGAAATCGAGCAGGAGAAACGACCCGAGAAATTTCCCTCGAGGTACGTTGGAAAATTTTATGACATCAATTAGGTTATAAACTATGTATTGATAACCTTTTCAAACTCAAAAATCGTGCTTACCATCAATTGTTTTGATTTTTGTTGCATAATATCCTGCAAAAAGCTAAAAAGTTTATGTCAAAAAATGAAAATCTGCTTACTGGAGAATCTTTGATATTAGATGAAAATAAGCCTTTTGGCCTTGTTTTCCAAAGTAATTCAATTTCATCTTTTCATTTCATAAAAAAGTTCTTTGATGACAAAACGGAGATTAAACTGCATAAATTGTTTTTTTTAATGCATCTCCACCAAAACTTTCAGAGTGAGAAAGTGGTATTTGAAAAATTACAATGCTAGAATTTTGGGCTCACCTCTAACATTTTGCAAATTTACCACAAAGGAATAAAGGGAAATCAGTTTGAAAAATGGAACTTCATACGAAATAATCGCTGAATCGAATAGTGTTTATTAGTTTTAAGTGAAGTCATTTTGACTTAAAATCGAAGTGCTACTTTGCATTTGTACAAACCCGATTGATTACAATTACAATTGATTGTAAAATGTGTTGATGACATCCTTAAAATGCAAACATTTGATTGAATCATTCTATTTTGTTTTCATGATATTCTATAGGAATATTGAGAAATTGTTTCAAGAAATGGGACCCCGTTGATGGTGAACTTTTTTTGTATTTGATAAATTTTATTGGTTCAATCGTTTTGTACTTTATAGCAAATTTTTGAATATATTAGGTTGGGGGAAAAGTCTTTGTCGATTTTTTTGGGAGAGGGTCTTAATCTTGTTCGACCTGGACGTTTAATAGCTCATTCGATCGGAGGATCGAGGCTTCGATTCCGGGGGCAAGTCAGTTTTTAAAAAAATTTTTGCTAAAAAAACAATTTTATTGCATTCTAGGGTAATTTTTAACGCTGATTCAGAAAAACATGGTTTCAGCATAGGTTTCCATACAAAAAACAAATAAAGTTAATTTTTTTTGAAATTTCGGGTCAAAGGCACCTCAGTAAAGCTGTCCTTTGAATCTTTGAAATCTTTAAAATTTGAAAGTTGATGAATCGACAAACGTTCTTTTTTATTCAATCCGCTAGATAATTAGCTTTCGAATGAGCTATTAAACGTCCAGATCGAACAATATTAAAACCATATCCCAAAAAAAAATCGGCAAAGACTTTCCCCCGACCCAATAATTCAAAAATTTGCTATAAAGTAGTGCGGGCACAAAACGATTGGACCAATAAAATTTATCAAATACAAAAAAAGTTCACCATCAACTTGGTCCCATTTTTTTAAACAATTTTTCAGTATTCCTATAGAATATGATGAAAAAAAAAAAATAGAATGATTCAATCGAAATTTTTGCATTTTGAGAGTGTTATCAACACATACTTTGCAACCTAATAATTGTAATCAATCGGGGTTGTACAAAAACAAAGTAGCACTTCAAGCATTTCAAGAGCTCAATGAATCAATTGAAATAGGTAAAGGCCCAGTATCTTATACTCTTGGTTTGACAAAAAAGACAACTTTAGTTTCTTGAAATGACAACTCCAGCACCTCTCGATAATCAAAACAAAGAGATTCAAGCAAATCTCGAAGATTTCAAACCATATTCGAATCAATTACGGGTAGGAGAAACAGGCCAAAAACTAGCCCTTGAAGTTAAAAAAGCTCTGAAGAAATATTTCTTTAGGTGAAAGGAGAAACGGGAAACCTCATCGATCCGTTACTGACCATATCACTTGTTCTTCTATTAGTATTCATTTGTATATTTGTACCTTTGTGGTGCAAACGAAAAGCACATATCTGCGAGCAAAAAAGGTTAGCAGACTTGAGCGCAAACGATGGCATTTATAGACAAGATGCATGTAAACTTTAAGCTTCGGAAAATCAATGTATGATAAATTGCCACATGTGGTGGTGACTCATGTCCAAGGAGATGAAACAAAAATACCACTTCACGAACGAGTTGATCAACTGGTCTATAAGTCCGAATATGAAATCGATAGTGCAAGCCTGGAAATTCTTTGCGAAAAGAGGGTGAAAGCGTCTTTTCAAGCTAATTAAAAAGAATTTAGCTTGGAATCGGAGAGTTCGGCAAGGTTTCGATGGGCGTCTTGAGGAAAACGGCGCTTAACTCACCAGCAATCCAAGAAAGCCTTAAAGTGGCCGTCAAAGTATGCAAGAGTATAACGAATGTCGCTTCCTAAAAAGGACATATTTTCAAAAACTACCGTAAACCAGCTGCCAGATTTGATTCAAACGACTCAATGTTGACATCATCCGATACGATCATTCTGTGATATCAAAGCAAAGCCGCTTAACCAAACTTGGTGGCAGGTTACGATAGGTTGCGAAAATATTAGATTGGCGGCTTGAAAGTGGATAGACTTTGTCGTATTTTTCATAAAACATATTTAATACGCGAATTCAATTAGTCTTCCCTAAACAAATGTTATCTATTATCTAATTTAAGACATGCCTAAGCAAATTTGGGTAACTTTTGAAACGAATTTGTGCAGAAGTTCGAGTTTGTTTGAAAATTCTTCAAATGGAACTATAGCAAAAACGATTGATTATATTGAGCTGCGAATTTGGCTGTATCTCTAACTTTTTATGCTCTATCATTTTTATCGTGACAACAAAATGTGTTTCTTTGGAAGAAAGTGCCGAAATCGCTTCATCGAGTGCTCATCATTTTTGGTTCCACAACTTGTTGCACCCTAAAAACCTAAAAATCCGAAGCTTTTAAAATCTGTCAAAAGCCTGTTTTAGAGAATAAATAGACTTTTTTATTGGTAAAAATTGAAAATTAATTGGTGTACTAGTTATTTTTGAAAAGTAAAATAAATAAGTGTACCAACTTCCAAGTTGCCAATCAAATAAGTGTCTTTTAGAATTCGCGAGGAACGTCTTGAGTCAAGAGTGTGCGTTCTGACGATTCTGTTTCAGGAACCTCGACATTCATTCAATCCCGAGCATCTGCAAATGCTAATCGCTGAACTGAAGATCATGTGCGCCATTCCTTTGCATCCCAACGTGCTCGCTCTCATTGGGGCGATTACAAACCCTATGAATACAAAGTTTGTATTCAGCTTAGTTTGTGGTTTTAATACTTTTAGTGGCTCCTTGTGTATGATAACAGAGCTATGTGAAAGAGGGAGTCTCAAGGATTTTCTTGTTAATCTTAAACGAACCCCTGGAGCTTTTCGACATGACTTGGTAAAGGTTTGTTTAAAGAATTTTTCAGATACCCAACCTCAAGTCAACGCAGAAAAGGTAAAATCTGTGTACACTAGTTATTCAAGAGAACTTTCACTTGCTCATTATTTGTCTAAACGATTTAGGTTTCAGAAAACGATTATCTAAGCATGAATTCGAGAGCAAAGAAAGTATACATTGTAAGTAACTTTTGTTTGTTTCAATCTCAACCATCAAAGAACATTGAAAGCGAATCGGGAAACTGCGATGATTCTCGCAAAGAGGCAGATGAAAAAAAGGCGCTGAGTGACGAAAAAGTCGTGCAATTATCCTTCTTTTTGTCATTGATTTCTAGGTTATTTGTTCTACAGCCGATTTGCTTTCGTTTGGTGTGCAAATTGCATCAGGAATGGAGTATTTGAGCAGCATTCCGGTTTTCTTGAAATGAGCCCATTCAAAATTTTTTATTTTTTCAGTGTATTCACCGAGACCTAGCCGCTCGGAACATTCTCCTCACGAAAAGCAATATTTGTCGAATCGCTGATTTTGGGATGGCCAAAAGCGAGAACAAAAATTATTATAGGTTTCCTTGTTTGAGTATTGAGTAAATTGAAGAAATTTCTTTTTAGAAGAAAAAGACATGACATCCCGGTGCCAGTGAAATGGATGAGCCCGGAAGCTTTTGAGAAGGGTTATTACACAGAAGCGGTTCGTTTTGTTTTGCAATTAACAATACGGGTCACCGGTGGGCCGTACGGATGACGAATATCTTGCTGAGTTAAAGCGGGTTTTTGATGATTTTTTGCTGCTCATTTCGCAGCAAATTTCTCAGAAATTTGTCCTGGTTTTGTAGAGTGTATACAGGGCTATCGAATGAGCTATCATAGTTTGGTTTATTTATAAATTCTCATTGAATTACAAATGAAACAGTTAACGACTACGCGCATGTACGATCAAAAGGCTCTCGTCGCTAATGTGTTAATTGATTAAACATAAGTTTCTTTAAACTATGTATTCTGCATCTTGTTTTTGAGTTTACTGTGATAATCATATGTCACATTATCTACCATAAATAAAATAGAAGAGGCGCCTGTCTGTTTGTCTGTGCACAAACGCGACGCTCCATAATTACGTTTGCTCTATCGGTTAAAAAGCAAAGGTATTAAGCTTGATTTTGCTTCTGAGGGCTTTCAGCTATGGGGAATCTGACTTTTAGGTTCATTTTTAAAAAGGGGCCGAGCTTAACATCGGTCTAGTTTTCCGCCGGTCTACTAGATAAAGAAGAAGAGACGTGTGTTTGTCTGTGTGCAAACGCGACGCTCCGTAATTACGTTTGTTCTATTAGTTAAAAGGCAAAGTATTCAGCTTTTGCGAGCGATATTTTTACGCCAGTTATGCGGAATCTGACTTTTAGGTCCAGTTTTAAAGAGGGGGTGGGGCTTAGCATCGGTTACAATAATTCTCTCCAGCGGAAAACGCGAACGGAGTGAGCCTTTTCCGCTGTTGTGTCACATAAAGTACCAAGTTTAACATTCAAGAACAAGTTCATAAAAATCTAATAAGCAAGTGAAAAGAACCAAAAAAATTTCAGTCAGACGTTTGGTCATATGGAATCTTGCTGTACGAGATTTTCACGCTTGGGGCAAATCCATACTCAAAGCTTGACTCATTTGCAGCCGTGACACAAAAAGTGCTCGACGGGGAACGACTTCCACAACCGCCGTTTGCTCCCGATGAATTGTTTGCGTCAACTTAGAAACGTATCAGTCGTATCAATTTTAGATACACGTTTATGCGGAAGTGTTGGGAGCTTGATCCAAAAGATCGGCCTCTTTTTGCGGTTAGTTATCGAAGTGAATCGTACAAAACTCGTTTTCAGGATTGCGCCGAACAGCTGAAATATCACTTACACCGAGCTTCTCCGAGTCACGTGGAAGAATTGGAAAATAAGCTCGTTCAGGAAAGTGCCTTGCTTAACTCGTACGACGGGTGGAGATTAGATGTGCTAGCGGAGAGTCAGGTGAATTTTTTACAAAAATTGGCCTTAACGAAACTAAGGAATTGACCTTAACGTCTAAATTTTAGCGCTACCTACCCTGTATGTTACCCACGATGACCAAAACTGGAAATAAATAAATTATTTACAGAAGAAGTTTCTTGTTGCTCACTTTGAAGTTTTCAGTTTTCAGTTTCCGTTATTCTTTCATAACATTCAACTTGTTTATTTCGGAGATACATTAACTCGTTTATTCATAAACCAAAAAAAATCAAATATTTCAAGTCAAAAAAAATTCAAAAGTATTTACCAAGATTGCTCTTCTTAAAATAGCTTACAAACTCTCGTATCCTGAACGCCTTAATTTTTTTCTCTCTTAAATCCTTAATCCATCGTCGACTCCTAGACAATCTCTGCTTTGCCTATCATATTCTTAATTCTCCTATTTCCCATCCCAAACTCAAATCACTTCTGATTTTATCAAAAAGACTCGACAGCTTGATCCCAAATTCAAAATTCTTTCCACCAGATCCACGAGCGGTATTTCACTCTATTTCTTCCCCAATAAATTTTCTAGAATTTGGGATTTGTTGCCAAAGCATATCTGTGAATCCAACTCTTATTATACTTTTAAAAGTCATACAAACCGGCTAAATTCATCAGAATTATATGCTCGCTTACTACGCAAAAATCCTGAATTCAGTCGGTCAGTTTGACCTCCTTCCGTTCCTAGGCAGATTATTTTATCTTATTTTTTCATAACATCATTGTTTCTTAGGAGATCATGTATTAGGCTGGAAAGTTAATTGTAGGAATTTTTTCACAATTAACTTTACAACCTAATAAATTGATTTGAAGGTAGTGCTTAAATTCAGCTTTATCATTCATTCATTTAACAAGTTCGAATTTAGGTTGTAATTTGAACTTGAATTTTGCTAGATAGTCATTGAATTTAAATCGAATTAATTTATTCTTCAGTCTCTACAATTTTCTTTTCTTTTGTTTGATAAATTTACTATGTGCAATTAAACATGTTCCGTTGTCACTTTTTCATGCTTACATGAATAAAGTATCGATGTATATAAACGAGTATAAAGAAAAAATTTACAAAAGACTTGATAATTGTTAAAAGTATCGGATTTTTGTAAAAAAAAACAATAAAAAGAAAGAATGGGAATTTCGGATTAGAGAATGATATGAGTCTACAAATGGTCACCGAAGGGTTTTTCCATTGTTGAAATCATAGAAATAGAATGCCTTACATTTACCCGAACTCAGCTTTTCCACTGTTACTCGGTGCCTAGTTACCTGATTCTCCTAGTTTCTTGTTTATATAAAATTTAAAATAAGTTTTGTAACCAATTTCTACTTTTCTTACTTTCTTGCTGTCATTTATCCATATCATGTTCATATTTCAATTGCATAATACATTTTTTCAATAGCGTTTAAAAGAAAGGTTTAATCAACAGCTTTCTGATTTCCCGCACAAAGTCGATAATTCGCAAGGAATAGGGGGCATTTCAATGGCAAAATGATCAATTTTCAAAGATTTGAATAAGTTATCATTTCATCTCCAAAACGAGAGAAAAACGATCAACAAGATCACGTTGACACTCTGGAGGAAAAGATGGAGAAGGAAACGGAAATCACACAGTTTTGCCTTTACAAACAAGGCGAGCTTTTGGCTGAAATGTTGAATATGCAAAAATTTGATGACAAAGGCTGCTTTCCTTTTAGGCCACTTTTTCCAAAGGCATCCATTCTACTACCGTAATCAAACTGTCATGATCGGAATCACAAAGTTCTGCACATCAAATGGAAAGGTGTCAATCTGAATTGAAATGAAATGAAAGATTTTAAGAACTTGTGAAAAGTATTTTCAAAATTTATGTAAAAACACTAACATTGATTACACAAATGATTTCCGCATAGAAGAGAATCGGCATTTCGACGGTGCCATTGTTGGAGATTCTCACGATTCAAACGCTATCACATAGTTGAGGGCTTTGCTGGAAACGATTTGAAGTGGTAAAGCGATAAAATTATAAATATAAATATATCTTTATGATTTTGGTGTCATTTTGTTGCACTTTTTTAAGCATGCAATACATTTTAGGTGCTTTTCCCCACGCAGCCGTTCCCAAGACAAAGCTGAATTTTTTCTTGCAAAACCTCTAAATTCTAACCTCTAAAACCTGCAAATTCGTTTTTGTAAAAGACGTTCAACATTTTTTTGATTGATTGAGCATTATTTTTGTAAACAAATTGACAAAAAAGGTACTCTAATTTTCGTTAAACTTCAAAAGTAATTTCTTGCATATATTGTTCAAATTCAGAAAATTTCATTTTTCTAAACAAAGCGTTTTAGCTTAAAGCTATACAGGGTGTTTCATAAAAAAAAGTTTTCAAATCGAATTCCCTAAAAAGTTCTAATGGCTGTATGTGGCACAAATGCCAAGCCAAAAACTTGGATAATCACCCAAAGTTGATTGCAAACAAAAAGCAAAAGATTCGATTTTTTACGTGGCCGTCAAAGTGTGATTGACCCGAGAGCTGTGTGAAGCATTGATTGAAAGGAAAAGGGGAAAGAGAAAGAAACGAATAGCCGAAATAGGGAAAAAGACAAGCAAAGGGAAGGCCTGAACAGACCTTTTGAGTCAACAACACACACCCAGCAAATTTCGATGAAGAATTCATGTGAATTGTGGAACAAAACATGATCGTGAGTGGAAGTAATTGGGAAGAATAGCTAATTTAAATGCTAATTTGATTGGTTATCTAAACAGAGCGTTTTCTAAAAGATGCTCAGTGAGCCAAGCTACTGTAATCGATGTCTTAACTACCGTAATCCAATCTATAAACTACCGTATGACACCTTACAGTCTGGGTTTCTTTTTAGATTCATTTCAGAGAAATTCGGTAGTCACTATTGTTATATCTACATTTGAATACCTAATCTAGTTTGGATATCTAAACTTTACATAATTTTTCTCAACCAACCTTCGATTCCTGGGGTGGCCATCGTTTTGTTCAACTTTACTTGATCGGTTTCTGAAATCGAAGGATAGCAGTTATCAATTGGCTAGTTATATCGTAAATTTTGAAATACTCAAACTTTTTAACATTGACTATTTTTTGTTCAGGTTCCCTATGCTATCATGAAGGGAAAGGCTGTTCTTGGACGTATTGTGCGCAGAAAGACCACCTCCTCAATCGCCATCGTTGATGTTAAGCCGTAAGTTTTACTGTTGCTATTGATAGCTGATTCAAATGTTATTGAATAGCTTGAATTTTTAGAGAGGACAAAGCCACGCTTGCCAAGATCACCGAGGCTGTCTCCAACAACTTCAACGATCGAGCGGACGAGATCCGTCGCCATTGGGGAGGCCACACGGCAAGACTTTTATAAAAACTTCAAACTTATTTCGGATTTAGATGTCTGATCGATCACAGGCCAAGGTCGCCAAGTTGGAACGCGCCAAAGCCAAGGAAGTTGCACAGAAGGCCTAATTTTGTTTATGTTTATTTACAAATGTTGTTCTTTGTTACAATAAAATTTGAAAAAACATAAACTAAATGCATTTTATAATTGGGTATTGACTTAAAGCATTAAACTACGAGCACAACACAGTCAGTTGCGACTTAAGAGGTTTTAGGTGTACGGGAATAATGCGTGCTAATCAGAGAGCAGTCACAAATTCAGTCGGGTGCGTTTTGAAAACTTAGGACACGGGCAGTTAAGTTGAGTCTTGATTTTGACACTCTGGAGGAAAAGATGGAGAAGGAAACGGAAATCACACAGTTTTGCCTTTACAAATAAGGCGAGCTTTTGGCTGAAATGTTGAATATGCAAAAATTTGATGACAAAGGCTGCTTACCTTTTAGGTCACTTTTTCCAAAGGCATCCATTCTACTACCGTAATCAAACTGTCGTCTTTCATTTTATCGGCTCAATTTTTGACCACATTCGATGAGGAATTGCAAGGCTCAATCAATGACAACAAAATTGGGCTGTTTGAAAAAAAAAGGTGAAATGATTACGGTAGTTTTCGAAAAATGTTAGGAGTTTCCAGAAGTTTCCATAGTTTCCATAAGCACTTCGAAAAATCATCATGGCTTTGCAACTAATCCACTTTTTTTGCCTAATCTTTTTTTAAAAATAATTGGGAAAGTGTCTAAAATTTATCCCTGAAGTTTCATGCAAATTGCCCCTCTAGTACCTTGGGTTTAAACATTTTGAGCATTTCTTGTCCGAAATCTTCCCGTCTTTGAATTGATAAAATTTTCTATAAGTTACTACGATAAATTTTAAAGCCTTAATCCGAAGAAAACACAGAGCCTTTCATAAAAAAACGTTTTCAAATCGAATACCCATAATCTCATGTACAGAATATCAAGTTATGGTGAAAAAGAGAAAAAAGACACCAAAGCGGCCACATACAGCCATTAGAACTTTTTAGGGAATTCGATTTGAAAACTTTTTTTATGAAACACCCTGTATAGCTTTAAGCTAAAATGCTTTGTTTAGAAAAATGAAATTTTCTGAATTTGAACAATATATGTGTTACGTCCGAATCTGAGGAGACGTCCATCTCCGATCCGGACGTCCGAATCTGAGGAGATTCATTCTCCTCTGAAACGGACGTCCGACTCTGAGTCGGACGTCCGTTTCGGAGGAGAATGATCATTCTTCTCGGAATCGGACGTCCGATCTTGAGAACAAATAGTTTAAATGCAAAATCCAGTGTTTGTCCAATCTGAATACATGTGTTTTGTTCAAAACATTGGATTTTGCATTTAAACTATTTGTTCTCAAGATCGGACGTCCGATTCCGAGAAGAATGATCATTCTCCTCCGAAACGGACGTCTCCTCAGATTCGGACGTAACATATGCAAGAAATTACTTTTGAAGTTTAACGAAAATTAGAGTACCTTTTTTGTCAATTTGTTTACAAAAATAATGCTCAATCAACCAAAAAAATGTTGAACGTCTTTTGCAAAAACGAATTGGCAGGTTTTAGAGATTAGAATTTAGAGGTTTTAGAGGTTTTGCAAGAAAAATTTGCGAAAACACGGACCCTGGTCGCATTTATACCACATGTACTAGCTATTGGCATGAAATTTCAAGGATAAATTTTAGATACCTTTCCAATTATTTTTTAAAAAAGAGCAGGCAAAAAAAAAGTGAATTGGTTACCAAGCCAAGATGATTTTTCAAAGCGCAACAACTTATGAAAACCCTAATCGGCGCCTTATAATTTTAAGAAATATACCTTGGAGTTCTTTCATCGGCAACATTCTTCGTTTTTTTGACTCTCTTTTCGGAAATCGTTAGACAAAGCATGATCAAAATGCATCCAATCGAGACATTGCCAAGAAACAAAAGGACATAAATTACTGAAAACTCTATGCAGACATTCTAATCTCAAATGTTTTCAAACGAATTTTTAGAATTTTTCACCTAATAGCGGTAGGCTGGCCGTTTTGGGAATAGCACTCGCCGAGAGTTGCAACAAAACGGTCATCGAGATGAGGCTCATCAAACCAATCGTTAGCTGAACTTAAAATGATAAAAGATTTGAAATTATAGAAACTTGAACGTTGAGCATGTTTCTAGTGACTTCTTGCTTCAAATTGGTTTATTTTAGTTGTCTAATTAAATCTTAAATGTTTAAAATGTTGTGGTTCAAAGCTAATTGTAAGCAAAGTTTGAAGCACTATGATTTTGGAAAGCTGATGCTATTTTACTCAAAAACTAAACTACAGGGTGGCCGATAAGTATCTGGAAAATATATTGCACAAATTGAGCACTTAAAAACAGAAGCTATTTTGAGCTGGACTAGCAATAATTTGGCTAAGGAACCAAAGTTTCATTTATTCAAAACCATTTTCCGATTTTTCGCTCTATTCACATTTTCTAAGAGTTTCTTGTCCGACATTTAAGGCTTCTTTGCGGCGTAGCTTATTTTTGACTGTTTACGAGTGCTACCACTGAGTTCATTATTAGAAAATCTCTAAAAGAAAAATCTTTTAGAATCGATAGAAGGTTTTTATAAGTTCGCTAGTTAAAATTTAACCTTGCGCTTGATTTTTTTAAAGCAAGTAAAGTGAATCTAGCCATTTTATCAAAAGAAAACCCAATTTTTTCGGATACTGATCGGCCATCCTGTAAACCTTTGTTAGCTGATCCCGCTCCTTTTTTGATGGTCACCGTCCAGAACATGCCAATCACCGACAGGACAGAGACGACAAAACAAGGCAGAGCGACCATGTAGGCATAGAAATTGGGACCCCGTGGCAGGGTCACAATGTACTCGAACTAAAAAAAGAACATCACAGGAAATGACACAATGACACAATTGGGGCACGTTCTTCTTTTTAACCGTTGGCACTGCTAAATTAGTTATGCACTATGAAGATCAACGGTGCCATTGTTGGAGATTCTCACGATTCGAACGCTATCCGCGTACACATAGTTGAGGGCTTTGCTGGAAACGATTTGAAGTGGTAAAGCGATAAAATTATAAATATAAATATTAGCAATTAGGGAAAATGGGAGATAATTGTCGACTTATATGGTCGTTTTCGCAGGTTATATTTCTTTTTTGCTATTCGATTATTTCGGATCCTAATGATTCACCTTTTTTTTAAAAATCTTGAAAATTTCCACTCTCTTTTGTGTCGAATCAGTAATCGGCAGCTTTTCGTCGGTCTTTCCTTCCCTTGTTTCCCTTATGCTTGTCATTTCTTCTGTCCGTTTCGCTAAGTATTTTTCATTCTTTGCAAAGTACCAAAAATGTTGTTTTATTTGGGCCGTTTTTCAATAATTTATTAAATTCTCATCTTCTGAGAGTCGTTCCTTTCTACTAACAAATACTGCTCCTGCATATGCAATTCATACAAAAAGATTACAGTCGATGGCGGTAAGCCATTTGCGTGATTAAAAAATGTGGTTGTCTGGCTTCAAACATCAAGAGCTGTCGACTTGATTTTTTGATTTTTATGATTTGGGTTAAATGTTCAAAATGGACAGAGTACGATTTTCAGATTTTATTTTGATTATAAAATTCATTAAATAAAATAGGAAAATTTTCTTGACCAAAGCTGCTAAAATTCTCTAGATCAAAGCAAGCAAAAATGTTTTACTGATATGTCACTTTTAGTTTTTTGAAAAACGAGCTGCTTACTGAGAAGTGTTTAAGTTTTTATTAGTTTTCAATCAATGATGTTCAGATATGAATTTTAAAAACTAAAAATTAACAAAAGGCTAGTCAGTTTGCTTTTTTTGCCAATTTTTCAGAATTTTCGGAACTTCTTTTTTGAAACAACTACTCGACTGTTTATTTACGGTTTGCTATCTTATATAGTTTATATAGTTTATATAGTTATTGCAGTTTTTCAAAGTATTGTAGGAGTAGTACTTTTATTTAAACTTTCCAAGTATTTGACAAGCAAAATGCCATTGTTTACCCCCTCTGAGTAAATTCAATGTCTCCACAAAGATCACCAAATCTTGTTCATCGCCAAGCTTTACCAGAAAAATTTGCATTTTCTTGTACTGTGTTGCTTCTTTTCGGATTTTCTCGATTTCTGCATCAAATCCATTCTGAAAAAACTGCGCATAAAGACGTGTTGCTGTCGTTTCGTTGGTGATTAATGAAGCTGAAGTTTTTTTTAATGAGTTCTCGATCTCTAGAGTTCTTGCCAGAAATGCTTTTTCAACATGAACATTTTTCGGAATTGGAAAGTAGAAACGCAAAATGGCCACAGAGTTCGGGTTTTTCGATGGAGGACCGTCAAGCAAAAGACGACTGACGGTGCTCAAGTAGTTACTCATCGAACTCTCGGTCTGAATAGTCAGGAGAGCATTCGAGTTCGCCAAAACATCCCAACGTTCCAAAAGGTTTCCATTCAATTCGATGATTCGACATGTGGATAAAACCCCCATAAGTGCAATCATTTGAGATTTGAAAGAATTTTCCTCTTCCATACCGACGCTGATTTCCAATGTCGCTTTTTCAGTGACGTTGGCGTGAAAATTATTCAAAAAAATCTCCAAAATCTCGCTCCTGTTTGCTGAGAACATTAACCGAGGCACGGTTTTCATTTGCGGTAGAAAGATGGCATTTCCTAAGAGCTTCCGAACAAGAGCCACCGTTTGTTGATAGGTTTTCTTTATTTCTGACCCCATGACAAAGTTCAGGTTCAGCTCCAACAATTCCGGTGCCTCAACGAGGTTCCACAGTTGCCAGGCTTCGCGTGTCGAAATGTTTCGTTGGTGTTCACCATTTGCGTAAAGATATGTGGTGCCATTGTAGATTGAGAATACGAGATCAATGTCGTCGAATTTAATTTCCACCGAGAACGTGGGCTCAAAATCGGCACTCTCCATCGGCCGATAGCTGTCCAGTTTCAAGCAAACAGTGTCAACATTTTTCACAAACAAATCGGAAAGTTTTTCGGGTAGCTCTTTGGGGCGATCGAAATACGTATTGCTTGCATAAAGTGGATTTTTTCCAGTACCGTTAGAGTGAATCAACAAATCGGAATTCGGCTCTTCTATCTGTTTTTTCTCAGAAAAAGCAAATGACGAAATATAGAAAAATAGAAGAGCGACTAAAAGAAAGACAAATATTGACCCAAAAAAACAGATGTGGCTCTTTTTCCTCTCCTCAATTTCCAAGGCAGTCTCTCCGTTTAGCGGGTCCTTCTCGGTGACGCTTATTTCGAGATCACCGTCCGCATCTCCGTTGTTATCCACAGACTTTTGAAGGTCAACTTCTTTGACTTCAGATAGAACCAAAAACGAAGCATTGATTGGCGGCGATAAGAAGTCAATTTCTCGGTCTTCAAGATGAACTTTTGGCGGAGACAAAGAGTCTTCCTGAAAAGCTTATTGTTAGTAAGTGGACTTAGGGTATGAAGGCCTGTTTTCATAAACCTCTAGTAGCTTAGTCTAGTTACTAGTTTCATTTGTGTGTATCTCACGGTAACCTGTGTTGACCGTACCTACTGTATTTGTTTCAACGCCAATAAGCGACTTTCAAGCTCTTCCCTTACCAAAGAATTGTCGGGATCAGAAATAGTAGAACTGTCACAAGAGGTGAACGGCTTCACAATCTTCATTTGCACTTCGTCGATCTTTGGCGAAAAATCAAAGTACTTTATGTAGGAACAGAACTAAATCTGAATCAGATACCAAGCTTTAAATTCACTAACCATCTCAATTTTCCTCAACTCCTCAAGAACTTCGCTTGCTTTCGGGCGATGGCAGCGATCAAAATTTGTACATCTGGAAGAATTTTTTATCATCTTCTGATAAAGGTCATCAACTTCTCGACCACTAATTGCACCTCACGCTGGCACTGTGGCGGTGGCAATCTTAAGAATATCTTCTGCATAATGGCCAGCAAGAGCGTATCTCGATTAAAACCGCGATCGAAAAGTTCTGGCAGACCGGTAAACACTAATCTGCAAACAAAAATTGATTGCTTTGTTGCCATTGACTGCAATAAAGTTCTATGGTTCATTTTTTTAAAAGTTAACAAAGTTCTTAAGCCAGACCTTCGTTCGATCATCTCCCAGGTGACGAGGCCAAGACTGTACACGTCGTTTCGGTGGGATAACTAGGGAATGGAAACTTTTGAGTCAACCGTCTGGTTTTTGCCACAAGCAACATTATAATTTTGTAGACACTTTGTTTAATTCTCTTTGCTTCTTAACTCTAAACAGACTAGATGCTATTAGTTCTGATCTATCTGTTAACATTTTTGGCACCAATTCCGAAGCAAGACTAGAGTTTTTTCTTCACGATTAACGCACTTTCTAAAAGGCACCTATTTTAGAAAATTATCGTAATCAAATCGTCAGTTTTCATTTAAACAGCGCAATTTTATATTCTTGACTAAACCATAGGAATCCTCACCTAATCATGCTAAAATCGAGTGGCTTCGATGGAAACTGACGATTTTATTACGATAGTTTTTCTAAAATAGGCGCACTTTAGAAAGTGCATTAATCGCGAGGAACACACTCTAGTAAAGACAAACCTGAAGCTCTCTGCTGTGCTGTTCACTGCCGCCCATTGTCACCTCGATTTGTGGTGGACTCATGTAGCGATCTGTGCCAAGAAAAGACCCCGAACACGTTTGTTTCTCTTTGACTTCTCTACCCAAACCGAAGTCCCCAAATTTCACATCAAAACTGGCAGTGACAAGAACGCTGAAAACAAAATAGTTATGTGCCGTAAATGAGAATTTAACCAAAAGCTTTCTGAAACCAACTTGTCTGGCTTAATATCTCTATGGATGACATTTTTCTTTTCAAACATGTAACTGAGAGCATCGAAGAGTTGAATTGACCATAGGACAACGGTCTTCATCGTGTAGACAATTTTCGGATTAAATATCACTGGAAAAGAATTGTCGGCACAGAAAACGATAACAAATGACCTATTGTGCTTCATGACTACCATAAAAAGTAGTAGGTATTTTAATGTCAAAATTTATACGCTACCGTCGTTGAGAGATCCCCGGTGACAGTACTCCATGATAATGCCAAATTTTCCCAGAGCGTCCACATCGCCCCTTGTGCCGATCAATGTGACGATGTTTGCGTGGGAAAGACGTCGCAGAAGGTTGCACTCTTTTTCGAAAGTAAGCTTCATTTTTTCATTTCCACACTTCCAATACTTAATGACTGCCGGCCTGAATGGGGGTTTTTTCTAGGGTGGGGGCACGATGAGCAAAGCGTTTTTAAAAGGCACCTATTTTTTGAAACTACCGTAGTCAAACCGCCAGCTTTAAGTCACTCAACCAAATTTCGCGCTCATTGTCTGAGCCTATCCACCCCTAGCTGTATCATGTCAAAATTGGGTCGATTTGATGATGGTCGATGGTAACCAGAAGTGTTTGGATCCTAAAATTTCCGGATCATGTCCGGAATAGCCGGTCCAAAAACCGGATTTCCGGATCCGGATCGGGCTTGTGCGAGAATCGGTTTTTTCGGAAAATTGGGAAACGGGGATCTTGTGAATTTTGCCTTTTGAGAAGAAAGCATCGTCTTGTCAGTGGCGGCCGCGTAAAGCTTTACCTAAAATTAAGATATAACGTCTTGGAAAACAATGCGATACGCAACTATCTTTTTGCTTTGACAAGGCGATCCCACACGTGTTGCACTTGTAGCGGCTTTCTTCGAACGTAAAATAGTCATCATACTTCATCTAAAATATAAAAAGATTGAAGAAAAGAAATGCTATTGTATCTTGATAGAAGACTGGCCGCCAGAAGTAGATGTTAATGAAGAGGCGCGATAAAATTTACAATATATTACCGTATTTCCTCTAATAAACGCCCCCCCTTGACCAACTTTGGACGCTTCGTTCTCAGCTCCATTTTGAGATATTTTTATGTTTAATATATCAAAAGATAGCCCTTAATGTCTTCTATCTTTTGATATATTAAACATAAAAATATCTCCAAATGGAGCTGAGAACGAAGCGTCCAAAGTTGGTCAAGGGGGGGGGGGGCGTTTATTAGGGGAAATACGGTAGGTTGGCAACTAAATAATGGCCCTCGCCCTTTTTTGATAAAATCTTTTAATCTTTGCGTTTAATCTACCCTCACTTGTTGTTAATTGAATATTACTGAATTTCTGGTGCATTATTATACGTTTTTTACTTTCCTTGATTTGATACTTTTCAAATAATTTTGTTTAGAAATGGAAGATCTCAAATATCAAATGCGTGTCTGTCTCTGGTACGACTACAAACAAGACAAAACAGCTGCCGAATCCCACAGAGATTTATTGCGAGTTTTTGGTGATGAAGCTCTTTCCGAAACACAATGTAAGAGATGGTATCGACGGTTCAAGGAAGGGGATGAAAGTCTTGAAGATGAGCCTCGCCAAGGAGGACCCGAACTTCTGCGGAACGATGTTTTGGAAGCAGCTTTAAAGGAGGATCCAAGTCAAACATCACGCGAGCTAGGGAATCGATTGGGCTTTTCGCATACTGCAATCGAAAAGCGACTTCATGCATTGGGGAAAAGTAACCGCAGTGGAAAGTGGATTCCGCATGAATTGAGCGAAGAAAATAAGGCTACTCGTGTTATCACAGCTGGAATACTACTGAAACTTGCGAAAAAGGGAAGCTTCTTGGATTCCATTGTCACTTCTGATGAAAAATGGATCTTTTATGATAATCGAACGCGAAAACGACAGTGGCTTAGCACAAACGAAGACCCAAAACCAACTCCGAAGCCGGATATTCACTCAAAGAAATGTTCTTCCTCATGCGCCATACAGCCCGGATTTGGGGCCTAGTGATTACCATCTTTTTCGATCGATGCAACACTTTCTAGCCGAGAAAAAGTTCAATGACCTTGACGAAGTCCGAATTTCAGTGCAGAAGTTCTTTGACGATCAACCAGAAGAATTTTTCAAGAGAGGAATCCAGTTGCTCCGTCAAAAGTGGAAAGAAGTAATAAAGAATGACGGAGAATACCTTTTGGATTGATGTTGATCATCTTGTTAATAAATTTTTTGTTTTTACTGAAAAGGCCCATTATTTAGTTGCCAACCTGATAAACAAATAAATGCTAGGATAAACAAAAAAAAAACAAAGAAACTGGAGAAAAAAATAAAATGAAAAAGTGAAAGCGAGTAAAATGCTATAAAATATTCACGCTAAGCACTAAATAACTTAAATTGTCGACTTTATTGATAAATTTACTTGCATTATTTGCATTTTTTAAAATTAGCATGCATCCGGATTCGGATCTGGTCAAAATCAAGGGCTCCGGTACCGGATCGGACCTCTGGAAAAGTTCCGGATCCGGAAAAAAACCCGAAGCTTCGCACACCGTTGATGGTAACTCCTAATTTGGCTACGGTAGTTTTCTGAAATAGGTGCGTTTTAGAAAACACATATTGCCATGTACAAACTCTAGTTTCTGCTATGTTATCAAAAACATTCCGTTAAAGAAACAAATAAATCTAAAATGTTATTCTTTGAGATTTAGTTATTAAATTAAAAAATTAAAACCCACGGCTTATGCCCAACAAGCTCGTACACTTCACCATAACCACCGCAAGCGATGAAGCGCTCTTCAAATTCAGCAGTCATGGAATTTACATTGAAAAAATTTAAAACCAATAAGCTAATTCAGCAAAAATAGAATTTAAAATCGAATTTGAGCGAAATGTGCGTTTTATGAGTAACTTTGACACAAATCAATCAAAAAAAAACTCGCGACAAAATGGAGAAGAGAAATCTCGGGGAGAAAAAGAAAAATCGTGCTTTCTTTTAAAAGAAAAAGCGAAAATAGGTGTATTTTGTCTGAGTTGAACAATGATCAAAAACCTAAAAGCATAAGATTTTTTGAAGTTTTACAAATTTTATTCACCTTGTAGCACCAGTTTTTTTTAAAAGGTGACTTCTAAACAGGAAATTCTGCGTTTTTATGGTCGAAAAATGTTGTCAAAAAATTACTAGAAAAACAAATTGAAAGTTACACATTGCACATCTATTCAACTTTTACTTTTGAATACGTAGTACTTTCAGCTCGAAATTGGCTGACAACGCCTTTTTAAAAGGCGCCTATTTCTGAAAGTAAAATCAAATTAACAATTTCAAGACAGCTAGCCAACAAAAACTCTATATAGTTTATTTTCACGATTTTAATTATTTTATTTTCAATGCTAATTTCTAGGAGGTAACTTTCTCGATAAATGCATGGTATACATTCCTGGGCCAGAATTTCTTCTAAAATTGTTTTGAGTCTTCAAAAGTTATTGGTTACCTTCAAAAAACGCAATTTTTTGAAGCCGGCTTGATTACCCAAGTCCCGCCCCCATATCTGGGCAGCGTGCCAGACGCCGTTACGAGCGGCACGAAAGAAACCCACAAAATTTCAAATTCTCAAAATCACAAATAGACCCAAAATTACAAGAGGATTCAAAATTAAATGTTCTGACAAATTTTCAGTTCATTTGGTCCAGCCATTCACAAGAAACAGCCGTGACTCGACATCGAGTCAGCTGGTCGAATCAGGTTGCTCACTGTGTACAAGCTTTAATATTGAAATCTATTTTGGTCGTCACTACTATTTGAAGTTTTAACATGTCACCAAGCTTGGACAAACTCAAAAATAATACAACCTCTTTCTTCAAAAAAAAGCAATTTTCGTCTCAAAATCAAACGCATCCAATGCAAAATTGTATTGCATTGATGCAAAGCAATATGGTATTGATAATTTTAATTGGTAATTTGGCATTGGTAATTCTAAGAGCAATTTTATCGGCTTTTCATTTCCGCATGCACGCCTCGACTCTACGGTAGTAGTTGAGCGAATGCCCGCTATTACAGTTGCCCATGCCTAAAATGACTTGGACTTGTTCTTCCCACAAAATGTCCCCCACCTCCGTTGTGCAATCGCGACATCGCCTCGCAGTGGGACATCCCGGAGGCACATTTGCTCTTGAAATTTCGTGCATATTGCTCAAC